AGAGTGAGATCACCATTTCCCAAGGGCCCACTGTGTGGCAAGCCTGGGCTGTGACCTTGATCGCAAAGGTGAATTAAACACAGCACTGCTCTCCCAGAGCGCCCAGCCAAGGGGGGACAGGGCTGAAACGAAACAGACAGTGACAATGAGAATACGCTTCCTGATAGACTAGCTCAGGAGGCCACAGGGGGCCTGGGCTAACCTGAGGGAGGTCAGGGAGGGCTTGCTGGAGGAACAGGTGTATAAGCATCTTTAAAGGGAGGACAGGCGAGGTCCAGAAAGGTCTGCTAAAGCAGATGGAGGGCAGTGTCTGGGCAGCGAGAGGGAAGCCTGAGGCCAGTGTCCAGCAGAGGGTGAGTACTGACCCTCAGAGCCTGTGGAAAACTGCACATCTGGGCACAGGGAACCCCCAAGGCCCATGCCCTCCCTACCTCTTCAGCCTTGTTCCCACCAACTCAGACCTCGTCCTTCACACTGTGGTGTTTCCAGAAGTCTGCAACCCCCAGACACTGCCTGTCAGCCTCTGCGATCATGCTCTCCCCACCCCTGCCCAATGAACTCCTATTTACACCTTGAAGCCTAAGGCCAGCACCACCTCCCCCAGGAGGGCCTCCAGGGTTCCCACATCACACAGCGCTCGGGAGACACTTCCAGTCTGCTTAACCATCTCTCCAGGTGGTCTGGCTCTTTGACATTTGCTCCCAGCCCCTGACACACTGCCCAACACATGGTCAGTGTCCTACAAATATGCAATGAGTGGGAGCCATCAGAGTAATAAACCCAGCGTTCTGAAGTCAGCCATCTTCTAAACCGTCCCCTACTACTGCCTGCCACACAGTCGATGGCTGTTAAAGTTATTTAACTGTCCCTGAGAGTCTGACAGAAAGATGCAGCCTAGAAGGTGTCTGACAGAACTCACTACCTGAAATTCTACCATTAGAGAGTCACTTCCCTGGCTAAAAAAAAAAAAAGTCACCTCCTACTCACTACCTGAAATTCTACCATTAGAGACTCACTTATTTGAAGCTTTTTCATTTTTCAAGAACAGCTATTGAAATGCAAAGTGCCCTGGGATAAGGTCAGGCCTTAAGTGGCTGTCATATAAAAAGTTAATGTCTCTAAGTAGAAGGGAACAGGAATGGAGCAGGCTGGAGGGAGGAGGCTGGAGAGGAGTGAGGGGTGCCAAAATCCCTGCACAGTTTGCTGATGGCTGTCCTCGGCTCTAACCGCCAATCGACACTCTCTTGATAAAAAGAGCATGCCTCTCTGCTTGTCCCCGCACTTCAGTGCTTCTTGGCATGACACCATACGCAGAATGAAGTGGCTTTGTAGTGTGTGCTGCTTGTTCTTCCCCCCCTCTCGATGAAGCTCTCCAAGGGACACTCAATCAAGCTCCTTTTGTTCCCAGGGCCTTTTGAAGGCTTCCGGAGAGGAAATGAGAGGACTCTTTAAAGCCCAAGTCTACTCGCAGCCCCGCAAATCACAGTCTCCCTGCCAGTGCCGCCCCCCACCCCGGCCTGATGTGTGAGTCGAGGTGCCACGGGTGGGCTCGGCTCTGGACTCCTGACAGCACCGCCCCCGGGAAGATGCTCCAGGACGTCCCAGCCCATTGTCAGAGACCAGGGTGACACGCAAGGTTCCTCAAATGAGGCGAGTCCTCCAAAATGGCCAGAAGCCACAGAGAAGGTAAAGGGTTAGGTGCCCCCGGTCACAGGACTGTCACCCACCGTCATTACTGGGAGCAGGGTACCCGCCCCAGGGCACATCGCATGATTGGGAGGCTTTGCGTCTGGACTTTGGGTCCACATGTAGAAGAGGCACTTCTGAACCTGGGTCCCACGACTCCTTCCACAATGTCACCAAACCCAGTCTCTCCAATCAACCACTACAGATGCGGACAGAGTCCACCAAGGGATCCCACCATGTGGGGAGCCCCACAAGGTCCCAGAGGTCCTCAGAGATCCAGTCACCAACCTCCCATCCGACTCAGGAATCCTCTCCAGCAGGTGAGAAACTGGGGGTGAATTTGACCCCCAGGGGATGACTGGCAATACCCAGAGACATTTTTTGTTGTTTCCAAATTGTGCTACTAGCTGCTAGTGGGTAGAGGCCCGGGATGCTGCTAAACACCCTGCAGTGATCAGGACAGCCGCCTGCAACAGAGAATTACCCAGCCAAGTAGAGAAACCCTGATCTAAAGTACTCTAGACACTTCATGATCCAGCCTCTGCGTGATCACCCCCCGGGGGTGGGAAGCTCACCAAAGGACAGGCAGTGCCGTGAAGCACCGGATCCAAAGCCCGGGTCGGCCTCTTGCCGGAAACTGGGGGCACGTGACCCAGCTCCTCCTTACTTTAGAATCGCTTGATGGAAAACGGAGCCAAGAATTTGACGTTCCAGGGCTGTTACGAATGATCATGATTTCACGACTACGAAACATCTAGACAGCGCCTCACAAGCAGAAGGCACTTAAAGCAAAGGAGACCTGCTGGGTGGCGTGTGGCTTTAGGATGTACCAGGGAGCAGAACTGCAGCCAGCCTGACTACTAAAAGCCCACCACCTGCAGGAAAGCATCTGCTAAGCCCCTGGCCTGCCGCGGACCAGACCACGTGCAACATGTCCCCCATCCACGCTTGCAAAGCCCTGGCAGCCACCTCCATGTTAACAGGAGGGAGATCGTTTCTAATACATTGTATTTTAGCAACACAGTGGAAGAGTGTTGCAGCTCTTTTAGGTCACTGTTACGAAGACAGAAATGTTTGAGATCGTGCGGGAGGTGAAAATACAGCAAACTTGAATGCATCCCATAACTCCAACTGGAGAATAAACTGGAGACAATATATAGGAAAAAAACTCTTGTGTTAGGATGATGGGACTTGGGGTCATGCTGGGTTCTGGCAATGTTCCTTAATGTAAAGTCATACTGCTTTTTCCGTTAAAATGCTATTTAGTAATGAAAATAGAGAAAATGCCGGGAGACGTTACAAATCTAGCCTTGCTTCTAACCACGAAGGATAGGGGTGCAGGAGTAATCTCGGAAAATGACCAGTTTTGAGGAGGCGTGGCCTCCCAGGCCTCAGAAAGGGGGCTACTGCTCCCAGTGCCCCGATGGCAGCAGGGCAAAGGAGGACGGTCTGCCCGCCCAGCTCCTCTGCCGGCAGAGAGGAGGTCCCTTCAAGGGCCACCAGAGCAAGCTTCCCTTCCTACAACTTCACTCTGAATCATCACCACCTTCCGCTTACAGAGGAGACACTAGGACAGGGAGAAGCCAGGCAGGAGACGCAGCCTGGGGGTCTCGGCACTTTCCATTCACAGCCCCCACGGGGTCCAGCATCCACCAGGGTGTCTGGCTTCCCATCCTAAGTGAGGCCCCTCTCCTTCAGAGGCCAGGAAACTGGGCTGGAAACCTCCAGGCGGGCCCCAAGTCTTGGGCAGCCCCAAGATGAATTTATCAGAAATACTGTGAAAACGGTCTTCAAAACCTCAGTCTTCCCCTGCATCTCCCCTCCCACCAAGGGCCCACTCCAGTCATCCCCAAAGGAAATGTTTAAAAGCCCAGAACTGTGCCAACTGCTTTGCTTCTCCTGTGGCCCAGAGCACCCAAGCCAGAGCCACTGAACCATCCTTGCCCGTGACCAAGGCCCCACGAGGGCTGGAGTGCGGCCAGGTCGGGGGAGCCTGTGCTGAGACCCTCCGAGGTGGAGGTGGACCCTCTGGACCCCTGCCTACCTTCCCACCAGGAGAGACAATGGCCACAGAGTGCTGGGCGTGGAAGGGGCCAGAAACCGAGCAGGAGATCCAGAAAAAGCCAAGTGGAGAAGATTTGGGGAAGATCCGGCGGGAGCTGATATTATAGAAAAACCCCAGCTTCCTTCCTCAAAGGGGACCGGACATGCCTTACCTCCCAAACCTGACGAGGGGACCCCAAGGGGGATAATGACTTGGGGGCCGCATGCCCACTCCTCGTAGAACAAGAGAATCATTAAGGGTAAAAGAGGAACCGCCAACAATGAAACCGTTTTCTTGCCACCAGCAGCCAAGCGCCCACCCATCCATAGCGACCAGGCACCAGCAAGGCCGAGGCCGTCAGCCTCCTTCACAGGTAAGGAACTGCCAGAAAGATCCAGTGCCATGCCCGGGTGACATCATGCCTCCGACCCAGGCCTCCAGGTTCAGGCAGGACTGCTGCTTCTGACAGGTACTGCCTTTCCTGAACTCCCCAGGATCCGCCCCACCCCCAGGGTCTGAAATCCCACCGCCAAGAGGCTACCTGTCTGGGTCCTGTTTTTCGGTTCCAAGAGGTTTGGCTAAAATGGCCACACCTTTAAGAAATCCAGAGGAAAACTGAGTTGGGGGATTCGTAGCTACTGAGCTCCTTCCCGCATAAGAGCCCCTTCCACGTCGCTGGTTTGCGTCTTGACGCCCACGACGAGGGTTCTGTTCTGATCCCCATTTTAGAGATGAGTAAACTGAGGTTCAGAGAGGTCAACAGTAAACTGCCCAGAGCTGCAGAGCCAGTGCCAGTGTGGTCAGGTTTGGCTCCAAAGTCCCAGCCCTGTTTCCCTGGGAACTCATCACACCCACCGCCCACAGGTGGTGTCCCGCACGCCTGGCCCCTCCACACAGGCCCTGGAAGCTGGGAGGGCCTGGCTCCTGCTGGGTGCTCGACTTTTAATCTCCCACCCCAATCTCCCAACAGCCCCAGGCGTGGGCACAGCTAGTGGCTCCTTTCCCAGACGAGGAAACGTGGCAGAGAGAGGCTTCTGCCGAGAGCCAATGGGGAGTAAAGAGACGTGTGGGGAACACGTTGCAGCCACTCAGGACTCGGGTGCATCGGGAGGGGGCGGAGCCAGGTCCAGGCCCGGACAGCAAGGATGCCTCGCTGCGGTCAGCAGACAGCCTGACAGCTGTGGGCTGGGGGGCTGGGGGGCGGGGGGGGGGGGGGGGGGGGGGGGGCGGGGGGGGGGGGGGGTCACCTTGTTCAGCCTCCGGAGACGTAACATTGTTCAGAAACACGTCAGAAAAGCCTCCAGAGCCTGATACCGTGTGCTTCACTGGGAGAGAGGAACCGGGCCCTGGGAACCTCTCTGCCACGACCGCCTGGAGAACTCACATTCCGCTCCGGGCCTCTGTTTCCACATCTCCAGTACTTCCGTGCACCCTCCAAGCCCCCTCGGGCTCGGGTTTACTTGCTGGAACCGAGGGAAGGGAAGGAGCGTCTGAGCAGGGCGGGCATGGGGAGACATCAGGGGCGCTCAGAGACAAGCCTGCAGGGGAGCCCGACCCCCGGCCCCTTGGGCTCAGCTCCCAGGGCCTGGGGAAGAGCTAAGAGAGAGCCAAGGTCTGGCTGCTGGCTCTGTTCCCGGCATATTTGGGGTCTGTGGGCCAGGCCCTGGGGACAGAAAAAGGGTCCCTGGAGCCTGCCAGCCCTGAAGCCTATCCTCGGAGCACTCACGGCAAGGCAACACCCACAACAGATAGGAAAGGTAAGACAGGTGCTGAGAAGTGCAGGTGGCAGGGGACAGCCAGGGACCAGGCTGCACAGAAGGAGAACAGGGGCCAGAGTCTGGATTTGACACGGAAGGAACTGGGAGCCATTGAAGGCTTTGAGCAAAGGGGAGACAGGATTAACATGCGTTTATACGGTGAAGCTTTGCATCCTGATACCAATGCTCCTTGACACTTGGCAACCAATGGCATATTCTAGATGGCCTTTGGGTCCCCCACAAGCCCCTTCACTTTACCTCTACTGGGCCAAGCCCCTGACCTTGCAGTTTCTGAGCCCTTCAGGAGGTATCCAGTTGTGAGGGTGGATTGAAGGGCAGGTCCACCAGCGAGTGTCACTGTCATGGTCACTGTCACGGTAACTCCTGGTGAAGGACGGGCAGGGCCATCCCGCCCAGAGCATGGGGAAGGCTCACCGGAGAGGGACCATCGGAGAGGGTTACGGGGATCTGAATCAGGGGAACAGTGTCCTCCTAGTGGGAGGGGACAGCTTGGCCAGGGCCAGGCAGATGAGGCCCAGCATTGCCACCTACCAGCTGGGGGACCTCGGCAGGAGGCTTCACCTCTCCGAGCTGAGGTTTCCTATCTGTATCCGTCAGTAACTCCATCTATTCCTAGGGCACCAGGGCCTCCGCGTTCGTCATCCCCCTTGGATCCCGGGACACACGCCTGCGGGGAAATCCATCTTCCTGCTGGAGAGGTGGAGTGAGTGACAGCCACCCCCACGCCCCTGGAAAGACCTGCAGCGTCTGCTTTGAGCAGTCAATCTGTCTCTCTCTTTATCCCTCTCCCTTATCTTCCTTACTCTCTTTCATTCCTTTTTTTTCCTCTTTCTTTTCTCCCTTCTTCTCCCACCCTTCCTTCTTTCCCATCCAGCAATGGGACAGCCCACCAGGCCCTGCGTGTCCGTAGAGACGGCCGTCTGCTTAACAGAAAGAAGGAACGGAAGATGACACAAGGCTGGTGGCTGCCAACCTCCCAGCCGGAGCCCAGCAATTAGACCTTGGTCTCAACACGCCTGCCTCATCCAAACCCAAGGAGCGTCTGCTTTCCGGCTGCTAAAGGGTGTGTGCGTGTGTGCATGTGTGCGTGTGTGTGTGTCCACACCAGGCTTCCCTTTTCATGATGCTAAGTAAGACCTGAGTAATAGATGCCTTTCTGAGAACTGAGAAACCCCAAGATATTTACGTACTACGGAGAAATAAATGTTTTGCCGAATCCACATTCCTTCCCCATGCAGTGATGTCTACGGGGCTGAGAAAGGATGCGGGTGTTGTTTTCTTTCCCCACTTGCCTAAACACAAACACACCCGTGACACAACATACACACACAAACACACGCTGACCCCAGACAGCACCAACCTGCGCTCCAACAGGTGTGGGCAGGAGAACAGAGGCGGTGGTTCCAGGTCTGGGATGCAGCCCAGCGGTTAGGGTCATACCCCAGCCCTGCCCCTAGTTCGCTGTGTGTCCTTGGTGAGCTGCCTAAGGTCTCTGTACACAGTGAGCTCGATAACATGGTACCCCTGGCTCAGAGAAAGCCCTCAGTAGATGCCAGATGCCAACGATGATTATTATTGTTGCTGCCCTGCCTCCACTCTCCTGAAACAGGCCACGGAGACCAGGGCTCCGCGCAGCCCCCACCTCTATCACCTGCCCTGGGAACCTGGCAGATAACCCACTTCGCTCCCTTAATTATCTTCTCTGGCTGTGTGGGCGGCAGCATGAGCTCCTGCGACTGAGTCAGGACAAACAGGGGAGCAGTTTGAGTCACAGGAGGGGTGGGACGTGGCCAGGAGACGACAGCCAGGAAGCTGGGAGGCTGAAACCAGTGCCCCACGACGGGGGGGGAGGCCAGGAGGGGAGGCCAGGATGGGGAGGAGGCCAGGATGGGGAGGAGGCCAGGAGGGAGGCCGGGACAGAGGGGAGGCCAGGACAGGGAGGAGGCCAGGAGGGGAGGAGGCCAGGACGGGGAGGCCAGGAGGGAGGCCAGGATGGAGAGGAGGCCAGGAGGGAGGCCGGGATGGAGGGGAGGCCAGGACAGGGAGGAGGCCAGGAGGGGAGAAGGCCAGGAGGGGAGGCCAGGACAGCCCACGCCAGCCCCGGTCTCTGAGGACGGGGACCAGCTGGCTCAGGAGGCCGCGAGGCTGTAGGAGGGGACCCATCAGTCAGCCAGGTGGGCCTGCCTGCCCCCTCCGAGAGTCTCTGTGCTCTATGCCCCGCCCACCCTGGGCTCAGGTGCCCTAAGCTGAAGCCCAGATGCACTCCCCCGCGTCCCCCAAACAGCGGGTCCACTTGGAGGAAACGTCTGCTTGAGACCCCACATTGTATCTCCAGCCACCACTGTGCTCCCCTGCCCTGCCCCTCACTGGCCGTGCAGGGCACGGGCCTGCAGACCCACGGGGCTCAGGGGGCCTGCAGGCCCCGCCCCCGTCTCCAACCCACGCTCCGGGAGATGCAGCAGCCCCACAGCCGCGACGGGGCCAGGACCCGGGCAGAGAGCGGGGGGCACGGGACCCCTGCCCCCAGCCCCGCCAGCACACACTCACACGCATGCACACAGACTCATAAACTCCCCCAGCAACTCTCACACACGCTTACACACATACACTCACACGATCCTTAAGCACACACACTCACAAAGTCACACACACTTACACACTGGTTCATGCTGGCGCACTTATACACACCTGCACGTGGACCTGCAGTCACACACTCATTCACATTCACACACAGACACACCCGACAGAGCCGCCCCCAGCGTGGGACCCCCGGGCCCTCCCAGCCAGCACTGCTTCTGCAACTGCTGGGGAGGGGGCCGGGTGCGGTCCCTCTAAAGAAAGAAGCTTCACAGCTGAGACAGGAGGGGGTTTCTGGGTGGGAGAGGCCCCAGGTTCTGGGGCAGAAGGGACCCTCCTTGCTCAGGGCTCCTGGTGCGGCCTCCAAGGCCCCCTGCCCGCCGCACAAGGGCTGCCCCAGAGCACTCTTCCCTCCCGCCCCCAGTAACCCTTCTGCCCCTTCTGGGAGAAGGGCTACCAAGATGCCTGCCCACCACGCGCCCACCCCAGCCTCCACGGCCCCAAGCCGGCCATTTCCTGCTGACGCACAGGTGGCTGGATCGGGGGATCAGAGCCCAGCGGTGAGTCTGGGGTCTTGGCCAGGCCCCTTGCATCTCACTCTCCGTCCACAGGACCCAGCAGCCACCCAAGACTCACTGGGCTGCAGCTCCCCATCCCAATCAGACCCCACCCCCACCCCATGCACACAGGTCTAGGGCAGGGGGCAGGCCCAGGGGTCTGCTGGGAGCACAGGGAAAAAAGACCCACCCACTCCAGCCACCCGCACGCTGGGGCGAGTGAGCAGCCTTCCCGGGGCAGCTGGCGGGCAGCGGCCAGGCCTCCAGGACCAACCTGGGACCAGCCCTCCCAGAGCAGCCCCCAGGGGCCAGGACTGCATCTTGCTCCTTTCTGAACCCTTGCACGACCCCTCGGCTGGGTGGGCTCATGGAAAAGGCCTCCTTCGAGTTTTCTGAAGGAGGGAATGCCCAGGTCTCTCCCATTCTAGAACGTATTACACGAAGAGGCCTCCTCTGAGTTTTCTGAAGAAGAGAACGCCCGGGTCCCTCCATTCTAGAACGTACTTCCGCTTACAGCTCCTTCATCTGCCTCTGCCCCCCTCCCTCTCCCCCACCCCCCGCCATGACTCCGCTATCTTTGATACCACACTCCCAGCCCTCTACCTAGTACTTTCCAGCTGAAGGGGAGCCTCTCACCAAACTCTCATCTTCCAGGTAGGAATCTCAAGCCCAGAGAGGGGAAGACACTTCCCTGGTGCTGCACAGCAGGGTCGGCCCAGAACTCCCCTCCCCCTCCCAGCAGCGGCGCCTCCCTCACAGCACATCCAGGGCTCAGGACTGGGATGGGGGTGGGGGTCAAGGAAATGAAAGAGCCAGGAGGCCTACACCCACTCTGACCTGCCCTGGGGGTGCCTGGGTGTCCATTCCCACATCCCCCAGCCCTCCCACCACCCAGCCTGTGTCAGCAGGGCCCCCAGGACACAGCCCCAGGCCCTCCAGGACGAGTCACAGAGCACAGGCAACACAGCAGCACAGCGGGTGCCTGGTGAGGCAGATGGGGGAGCCCCACAACTAGAATACAAGGTGTGCAGATGGCCCCGGAGTGTTTGCTGGGAGGGGGACCCCAGCTTTCACCAGCGTCTCCATGACCCACTGCCAGAGATGGTCCCAGACCACAGCCCTGGGTTCCACAAACACTGACTACCTCCTTCACATGCACACACCTGTCCTACCTTCTCAACACCTGTCCTACCTGACCTCAGCCGGTCCCTCCCAGGGCTGGAGGCTGCAGGCCTCCCCTTAACAGGTGACAGAGTGGAAACACTCAGGCTTGAGTCAGACAGAACTGGATTCCAAAGCTAATAATAGTACCTCGCACCAGCTGCGTAACCCCTCTCGGAGCCTCAGCTTCCCCCATCTGGAAATTGGGTATAACATAAACCACTCCACACTGGGAGGATTAAATGTGTCCACATGTGTCAAGACAGGTGCCCAGCAGGTGCTCAATGCCATTGCCTTCTCCCCACACCGTGCCACCTCCCACCTGCCTGGCGGCTGCTGGTGCTGGCCTGGGCTCAGGAGCTGCCATTACTACAAAAACTAGCACCTGGTTCAGTCCCATCTCAGAGGGCTTGCGGGGTTCCTGTCTCACTAACAGGACAGTCTGAGCCCCCAGGCAGAGCTGAGCCCAGGACAGAATTCGTACCTGCCTAGGCGACAGCATTAAAAAAGGCCCATGAGTCGAGCGCCGGGGGAAAAGGAGTGTCAGGGGCCCATGGGAAGAGTTCCAGGCGGCTGTTCCACAGTCGGCAGTGTCCCTGTCTCAGCCAGAGCCATAGCCCATGCCCACAAGGCCCACGCTCTGAGCCAGTGGCTCACACGGGGTCTGTGCAGCCTCCTGGTCACCTCGAGGAGAAGCACCATTATTCCCGTTTACAGGTGAAGCAGCTGAGGGCCACTTGCCCAAGTCCACAGTTAAAACCCAAGTCTACATACGGGACGTTCCAGATCCAGGCACTCCATCACTTTGCCCTCCTGCCTCAGAGGATCAGGGGCCGGCAGAGGCCCTGGTCTCTGTGCTGAGGGGTGAGGGGAGCAAGGTGCCCCCATGCCCCGAGGACCAGGAACTGCCCACCTGTGGGGCACGACCCGCTGCTCCATCACGGAGCCACCGCGCGGGCACAGGAGAACGCCCCCAGCCACCTCTGGGTAGAAACCACCGGACGGCACCCAGAGAGGTAAACTACATCCATAACATGAGCGTCACGGAGCAAAATTATTAAATGCTGTCATTTCGGAAGAAAATTAATTAGCAATAGCTGTAGCTGTCTCAAGTCTGCTGAAGCAGTGTGCATCTCAATTAAAACGTAATTGCCGCAGCTTCCATCACAGCAGGTTAAACAGCGTGAGATGCTGAGTAGGCGCCTGTCTACATGCGGCTTGATTCAGTGCGTGGAATGCCCGTCATGGAAGGGGAGGCGGGCTGGACAGCAAGGTCTCTCCTCAGAACCCCGCGCCCGTGCCCGCCGGTCCTGGCGAGGGGCTGCATGTCCAGGCATAGAGATGGCAATGGAGGGTGGTTCCTTCAACTTCTGCACAGACCCACCCTTGGGAAAAGAGATTTTAAGCCTGGCAGGGACCTGGGTCTAGAGCAAGGATCCCCCACTTGCCATGCCTACCGGGTCATGCAGAGAGGCAAATAAGAAGCAATAGAGAGTGGTGAGGCTTGTGGCTAACAGGAGGCCCACTGTGGAGGGCAGACCGCCGCTGCTCCCCTCTGGCTGACTCTTCCCATGGGAGGGTGAGGGACTCAACAGAGTGAGGGATAGGATTTTTAGTTCAGGTTTCCCGAGTTTTAAAACACAGTAAAGGCCTAACCTAAGGGTTATCAGTATTTGACCTCTTATCTAGGAATTCCTGCACCTAAATACACACCAAGGGTGTCATCATCGAAAGTAGATTAATGGTTGCCAGGGGATGGGGGGCTGACTACTCACTGGGTGTGGGGTTTCTTTTTGGGGTGAGGAAAATGTCATAAAGATGAATAGCGGCGATGGTTGTACAACTCTATGAATAACCTAAGAACTATTTTTTTAATTTTTTATTCATTTTTATTTTTTCTTTTAAATTTTTTTTATTGAAGTATAGT